GTCCCGCCTCGCCCTTGGAATTTGGCTCACCATCCGCAGCATTGGCCATCTCCTGAGTTATGCGCGAAGTGTATATGGCACTGATATCAAGTTCGGGGGACGTATTCCGGATCATCCACCGGCTTAACTTGAAACCCCTTCGGTACGAATCCACCATCAGGTCGTCAAAGCTCGGTGAGGCGATGTAATCATCGACAGCCTTCTTCTTGGCATCTTCAATACCTTAAGAGAAGATCTGCGTCCTCTTTCTAATGTCCTCCTGAAGATATTCGACCTGATGTTGCAGATCCAGCCTCAAGTCCGCCATATGTTTCACTATGACTCCCATGGCCTCGGCATCTCTCTGAGACCTCACCTGCCTGGACTATGCAGCACGAGCAGCCGCTCAGCAGCGCGAGGAGCCTCTTCGGTAGCTCGCACCTGCCTCGAGCTCCTTTCCACTTGGGCCGCCAAGGCGTGAATAGAAGAGTTCACCTACCAAAAGGAAAGAACAAGTGATTAAAAGAACCAACAGCAAGAAGGATAAAAGCAGAAGAGCTCAATAAAAAGTCAAACTTACCACCATGGCATGAGTAACAGCACGACAGGCCACCTGGTGCAGAGGGAGATCAGTCCACGCCGTGACCTCATCGGGAAAAATGGCCTCCTTACTCTTCTGAAGAGCATGGGTCGGCGACAACACACTCCTGAATTCCCCTAGGGCCCCCGAGCCCGAGGGCCCAGCTCGCGTATAAGCAGACCTAGTGTAGGTGGGAGCCCCTGTGTAAGTAGTTTCAACATACGGGCCCCCTGCTGCTTCTTGCATTGGAGGAGCCATCTCGGGCTCCCTGGGCGGATCTTCTGATGGGTAGTCTAGAACCTTGGGCTCCGCATCCCGGGGCAGCTCGACGCGAGTTCGCTTGGCGACTCGCTTCCTCCTCTTCATGCCTTGAAACAAGTGCCCACCGCGGGCCCCTCCTGAGTCCATCACACCTGCAAAAAAGAGTTCGACATCAGAAGGAAGCAAGAGACAGCAAAATAGAACCTCTAAGTAAGGAACCTACCCAAACTCAGGCCGGCCGCAATGAGCTTGGCCTCCGTCAGATACTATTGGCACTTTAGCCCAAGCCGCGCCCATTGTTGGAGGCCCTTCGCCGTCTCCTTGTCAAGTGTAACCCCGGAGTCAGGGGCGGCCATTCCCCACCCGGTCTGAAACGGCCACCCCAGCACACTTCGCACCCTGAAGTAGTCCCGCTTCCACGCCGGGACCTTATTAGGGAGCTCGTGTAAAAGCTTAAAACCCGGGTGAGGAGACAGGTAGTACGCTCGCCTACGCCCGGGGATGAGACCCGCTTGCTTCTTAAGCATTAAGATGGAAGAGAAAATCTCCAAATCTAAAGGGAAGCCTTGTTCGCAAAATAGAGAGATGGTCCCCACCAAATTACGAATTGAGTTCGGGTGAAGCTGTCCGACTGTAATGCCGAAGTGATTCAAGATCTCGACAAGGAAGGGATAGAAAGGCAATCGCAGCCCCGCAGCGAGCTGCTCCCGGAATATCACGATCTCATTAGGACCGTGTTACCAAGGAAAGCTACCCGAAGGTATGAAATAAGCGTACTCCCCGGGCAAATTATAATAGGAAATAAGGGATTGGAGCCCCTCGGGGGTCATGGTCGAGGGGCCAAACTTGTCTAACGACCGACCTCGACGAGAGGTGGACGCCAAACTACCCGAGGCGACTCGACCAACGGGTTCGAACTCTTCATCGAGCTCTACCTCCGGCTCACTGGAACTATCAAGGGATGCTACTCGGTTCGTGGAACCTGCATCTGACTCACCGGAAGAGCTGCCTGATCTATCCGAGCTAGACATCAAAGAAAGAAGGTGGAATCCAGGAAGGTACTCACCCGGATAAAAGCTTGAACGAGACTAGGAGAACTTGAACGAGCAAAAAACCTTGAACGCGAACTGAAAGCCCAGACGCGAGCTGAAACCTGGACGCGAGCTCAAGAGGCAGCACAGAAGTGACAAAGCGACTGGGGTCCCCCACTATTTATAACCACAGTGACCGAGAAGCAACGGCGCAGATCAAAGCCGATCTGATGGCCCGCAGTCGCGTTGACCGCACGTCCCCTGAGACCGAGACGTGATTGGCGCACGTCTTTATGAAACTGACATGCACCGGCGCACGTCTTTTTGAAACTGATAGCACGCCAGTGCACGTCTCCTCACATTAAAGGCGGCAGCGGCACGTTTTCAAATTTGAAAAGACGCCTGCTGTCACATCTCCCAGCGGCGCGCTTTTTGAATTTTTGAAATAAGGAGCATGCTGCCACGTCTATCAGCATTTGTAGGCAGGTCGGCGTGTCTTTCGCGCTTTCAGTCAACCAAGATTCGAAGTACGGGACAAATCCACTGCCAGCTTGCGAACTCCCCGCACCAGGGCAAGACCCTTAGCGCGAGGAATGGGGGGCAATTGATGAAGGAAGATTTGGCCCGACCTCGTAATCACTCCACGTGTCAAAGATGAACAGCTTGGCACAGCAGCGCACCCAAGGCGTGAGCACCGAAGGGAGGAACCAGTAGTCCGAACTCCCTATTAGGAGCCCGAACTCTCCCTTAGGCCCCGAGCCTCACACAAGGCAGTGACCCGAACTGGCCCGCCTCATGACAGTTCGACACTCCCCTATCCGAACTCAAAACTTCACCTCGCTCACCACTCCAGCACTTTGCCTCCAGAATGCCGAGCTGAACAAACGTACCATACCTGACACTGAGGAGGCCCGTATCCAAGGGCGGCGCACCTGACTGA